CATCTTGTGGGCACAAAGAATTCTAACAGGCTGGTCATAACATCAGGATTAGAGAGAAAATGGCTTCAAAGACACTTAACTTTTCCTACCTCCAAATTCAGCTTCAACTAATGAGGCTCTAAAAGTCAAGTGTGAAATCTTTCTGGTCTTTAAAGTAGGGAAAAGATCAGCAAAATGAGAGCAAAGTGCTCCAGAGCCTCTTCATCACACTTAGGATAAAACCAAGCTCCTTACCCCTCACCTGTCCAGCCTCATCTTTCTCCACGCCTACCTGGCCCTGGGGAGCTTCGGGACCCAGGACCTTTCACATGCTCTTCCCTCTGCTTTAAGCTCTGGTCCACGCCTTCTACACCTTCATTCACCCCTTCATCTTTCAGGTCACAGCTGAAAGTCACCTCTCCAGAAAGTTTCTCAAAGCCCGTAGAAGAGGTCCAGTTCCTCTTGTTTCACAGATCCCCACAGCAGTCCCCACTTTTCCTTCACATCATGAACCACAATCACCTGCTGTGATCACCTGCCTGTCTGTGTGATTACTGCCTAGTGTATAAACTCCACAGGGCAAAGGCTGCGTCTCTCCTGTTCACAGTCACGTCCTCAGTCATCAGTATAATGCCTGACATATATTTATTCAGGTGATATAATATTTAGTGAATGGATGAAATAAATGGCTCAATGAGTATTTCACACTGATGAGGAACGTAGTGTTAGATAGAAATACACGAGGTTGGACAATTAAGTTCACGTACTCATCCTAGAAAAAGTGCTCCATACCTCATTGCTGAATATCACTATGGTCACCTTCAAAGTACTCCCCTTGGGAAGCTATGCACCTTTGCCAGCACCTAGTCTACCCTTCAAGGCAATTTTGGAACTCTTTTTCTAGAATGGCCATCAGAGCTGTCATTGTATTACCCTTGATGGCCTGAACATCATCAAAATGTTGTCCTTTCAATATTTCCTTTATCTTCAGGTAAAGAAAGAAGTCATTGGGAGCCAAATCAGGTGAGTAGGGAGGGTGTTCCAATACAGTTATTTGTTTACTGGCTACAAACTCCCTCCCAGACAGTGCCGTGTGAGCTGGTGCATTGCCGTGATGCAGGAGCCATGAATTGTTGGCGAAAGTTCAGGTCGTCTAACTTTTTCATGCAGCCTTTTCAGCACTTCCAAATAGTAAACTTAGTTAACTGTTTGTCCAGTTGGTACAAATTCATAACGAATGATTCCTCTGATATCAAAAAAGGTTAGCAACATTGTTGCAACAAGTTTGCGAACTTAATTGTCAGACCTCATATGTGGAAGGTGAGTTGAACTGTATGTATTCTCCTTCGGGTGGTATAAAAGGTCATCAAGGATATAAACGACTATTACTTGAGCCAAGTATCTTTCACTAACAACCTTTATGAGTAAGCTTTAAGGCTTTCATAATATCCTCTAAGTCCTTCATGGAGACCAGATAGGTTTTGCAGAAGCAATTCAATCTTTGCTGTGATCAGGTGCTGTCTGAATTCAGAGATTTTTAGGAGCAGCCTGTATAGCCCTCCTTCCCACAAAGCTTCTCTGAAACAGAATCAGCAGACTGGAGGGAAGAGGAAACCTTTGTTGATATGGTGTGGTGGACAGAGGAAGGTGGATGGCACAATATCTGGTACAGGGCAGGATTCTTGTTCCCTGTCATCCCTGTCTCTGAAAATGTCATCCAGTGAGCATCATCAACAGCCACACTTAGCAGAAGGTCCTACAGGGAGAGGCTCCACTTACCAATGACACTACCTCAGACTTTATCCACTCACCCCTCACCCCTGAGTAGCTGACCACACCTGCCAGGACAGATAATGGAGACAGTTATAAGGTAAATGAGTCTGAAAAGAGAACAGTGTCTTACACATATATTCTTAGAAATACACCTGGCTTATTGACAAGACTGTTGGTGCCAGCAGGTCAGCACATTTCTGTATTCTGTAGACAATCTGGGTATGAAGCCACACTGTTTGGAATTGGGGTTCTAGGATCACAGCAAAAAGAAGGATTGAGCTTATGCAATGCTCAATCACTTGAGCCCCCATGAGGATGGCCCAACAAGGAAATGTAAGTGCCATGTCCAATGGAGCAAAGCATCTCTCCGGGCTGTGCTGGGATGACCTGGGTCTGCCCTGCCTCCTGGATGGACATGACTCTCTCTGGACTTTCACGGTTCATCAGTCCCCCTCTGCTAATGCTCCTCTTTTAAATATGTTCATGCCTTTGTCAGCTGTCTCTTAACTTGGTGGCTCTGGGAGGCTATCTGTGTCTTTCTGTGAGCCTGCCAGTCTCTGCTCCATCACCTAGCACTCGATTTAAAATCCCACTCCCAGAGAACAAGCAAGCAACTCCATTTCCAAGCTCTTGGAGGGCAGATGTCCACATGCTGCCCAGGCACTGCTGGGTTATAAAAAAGTTCCCCTCGCCTGGCACCAGAGGCTCTGATTGCTTTCATGATGCTGCCACTGACCTGGTGGCCAAGGGTTAGCCCAGCAGGATGAAGGCCCTCTGTGCCACCCTCTGTGCGGAGGGAAGCCAGCATTGACAGGCCTCTACTCCCCTTTCCAAACAGCATCTCTATAGTAGTGGAGCATTGCTGCGAAAAAGAACAATAAAATGACCCCTCCAGTAAAACTCTCTGGGATAGTGAATTCATTTAAACTACTTCTCATTACTTTTCTCACTTTTTCCCTATCTTGGCAAAATCTGGACAAATATACAGTGGGGGCGGGTGGTGGGGTAGAAGATTTCAAGCATTGGCTTAACTACTAAATTATGATTATACAAGTCATCATTCTGTGTCAGAAGTGAAAAAACTCAACTCACACAGGCTAATATATAAAGAAGGGACTTGGTCGGCTCACAAAACTAAAGGGTCAAGAGGTAGTTCCCAGCTTCAGGTGTGGCTGGACCAGAGCCTCAAGTGATGTCATCAGCCTCCTTTATCTCTGAGCTCTGCTTCCTTTCCATGAATTTACCTTCAGGAAGACTTTCTCCTGGCAGCTCCAGCTTATATGCTACCAGCTCAACACACTCAGCAAAAAGAAATATTCTCTTTAATAGTCCAGCTAGGGGTACCAGATTTAGTAAATATATGGGACACACTTAGACTAAAATATTATTACTAGCTGATCTGAAATTCAAATCAGCTAAGTAAGCAAGCATCCTGTATTTTAATTTATAACCCTCAGTCTAGCACAGATCCTAGGACTGAATCTCGGCAATTTGGATCACATACTATCCCAGACCAGGTCAGGATGGGCTATGCAAATTGGTAGGCCAGGGGAGCAAACCCTGTGCAGGCAAAACCAAAAACATATCCACACAGTGACCTCAAAGGTCCCAAACAACAGTGAAAATTATAAAACTGCATGGTGGTTTATGTCACACATTGTTTACCAAGCACTTTCACACCACTCTTTCTTTGTCACCCACACCTGTTTAGTTGGCAGAGCAGATATTATAATCACTCCCTGTATTATTTAGCTCGGGCTGCTATGATAAAGCACGACAGACTGAGGTGTACTGCTGGTGGGGTTGGGGGTGCTTAAACAACAGATATCTATCTTCTGACTATAGTTCTGGAGGCTGGAAGTCCAAGATCAAGATGTCAGCAGGGCTGGTTTCTTCTAAGGCTTCCCTCTATGGCTTGCAAATAAATGTCTTCTTGCTGTGTCCTCACATAATCTTTCTTCGGTACATGTCTGCATCCAAACCTCCTCTTCTTATAAAGACATCAGTCATATTGGATTAAGGCCCACACTAATAACGTTTACCAATTCAGCCCACAACACTGTACCCTCTCCTTTTTTTTTTTTTTTTTTTTTTTAGGTAAGGAACAGGGCAGTGAGGATAGTCACGACTTGTCCCCAACCCCAGGGCTGATTTAGTGGTGGAACTCAGTAAGGAACCTAGCCCAACTCCAAGCAGTGGCAGTCCCTGCTGTGCCTGCCCAACCTCTGCCTGGACTTATTCCTCTGTGTGCCCACTGTGTATACATGCCACCCGCTGCCAGAATGCAAGCTCCCTTCCTGGAGAGCACACAGCAAATCCACCCTAGTGGTCCCTGCACCTTGGGCAGGACCAGGCACCCAGCAGATGATGTACTTGAAATAAACGTTCCTTGAAAGGAAGGCAACTAAGAAAAAAAAAAAAATCCTATGTTTTAGATTTAGTTGAAAAAAAGGAGAGGACAGGGGCACATGCTCATGATTTGAAGTGATAAAGACTCTAGAACAGCAAAAATGATGAGGCCTATGGATGTGTAAATGAGCCTGAGGAAAAAAGCTAATCAGAAGAGTAAATTACAAAACAGAAAAAAGACTAAAACAAGCGAGGGAAGAATAGTGAATATTTTAGTTTCTTTAGTTCATAAGAAATTCATGAGCACTGAGTGTGAAAATTTTGTTGGTTTTGGTGGTGGGAAAGAATCGTAAATATGTATAATATGTAAATACCTTTTATAATAAAAACCCATGAAGATAAATGAGCCTGCCTGCAGAAAAGCTGTGAACTCTATAAGATGCTAATATAACTCTCGTCATTTTAAGAAATTATCATAACGCTTACAGGGCTTTGAAAGTTCCTGAGCTTTGGAAATAAATGCATAAATTCTAAATACTAACCAGAAAACACACACATCTCTCTCTCTCTCTCCCTCTCTCTCTCTCTCTCTCTCTTTCTTTTATTTATTATTTTTTTAATCCGAGGAAGGTAGCCTTAGGGATGACAAACATTGGGGTCAAATATGGGGTCAAATACGACTTCCTTCCATCACCGATGAGCTGTGCGGCCTTGGGAAAGCCGTCCAGTCTCTCTGCACTCACTTGCCCCATCTGTGAAGTGGGGAAAACGACGTCTACCCGCGCCGCGTTTTGGGGAGGAGAGAATGGGAAAACATCGCACAGCTCACGCAGTGCTACTTCCCTGCCGGCTGCGCGCCGACCAGCGGCCACTGGACAACAGGGGACCCGCTGGGGAACGAGGCGGGTCGCGGCGGAAGGGGCCGGCCGGGTGGACTCGCCCCGCCCCGCCCCGCCCCACGCTCTGCCAGAGCCCATGGCGCCGGCGGAGGGGCGCTGGGCTCCCGCCCTGTGGAGGGGCTGCAACGGGCTGATGGCCGCTTTCTTCGCGCTGGCAGCTTTGGTGCAGGTCAGCGGCCCGGCCCCGGGCGGCGGGCGGCGGGCGGCGGGAGAGGAGCCTGCGGGCTCCGCAGGAGGCCGGGCGCAAGCTCCTTTCCAGGCCCCGCGTGCAGTGTAGGCTAACAAGCCGGCAGGTCGCAGAGGCTGGCAGTTTAGGTGGAGGACTGGAATTGGGGTTTGTGCTTCGGGAACCTCCACTTTCTCCCCGACCTAAGACACACATGTGTTCCTGTGACCTCACCACACCCCTCTCTTTTGCTTAAATTCTGGAAGGAGCTGGTTCAGAGTGAGTCACTTTGAAAGGGATCTGAGCAGCAGCAGCCTTGGCACCTTTCTTAAAAATCAGCGGATGTATAAGACGAAATACAATTCAGGGCCTAGGACGTGAATCCGAACAAAACCCTTTTATAGCACAATTAGACTTTCAAGTCTGCTTTGGGCCCCCGTCATAATAGCTTTCCTCATTCCTTGAGACCGGGAGGCTCTTAAAATGCCAGTTGTAGGTTTGGCTCACCCTTTTCAGAGTTTCTGCGCAGTTCTTTACAAAAAATGCACGCTGTATGTTCGTTCAGACCATCTGCTGCGTTCAGCCAGAAGCCCCCTCACCTATCATGATCTGCTGGGCTGTGTCTTATTCCTATTTTGTATCTTCGGTGCCTATTGCAGCATCTGGCACGAAATAAATGTCTGAAATGAATCAAAGCGCAGACCAGCTACAGGAATGGAACCTGACAGTATGCCTGCTAACTCTGGATGTTTTGATATTCCAGGTAAATGACCCAGACGCAGGACTCTGGATGGTGAGTATCAGCTGCTTTCCTCCATCTGCAAGAATTGTGGAACTGCACCAAACACAGTATTATCTCTTTGCCTCCCCCCGCACCCTCCCCCCACCCCCCACTCTCCACTTTGTGTACTTAAAAACTTAGAAATCAAAGCCTTTGAAAGCTCTTTTCCCTAAAATATTAGGGGGAAATGGGTCAGAGTGATAAAGTGTGTGTGTGTGTGTTAAGAGTTTTCCAGAGACATAGGGGTCTTTCAGCAGTATTCCCTTTGAATAAAATGGCCCAACTGAGGACACTTTTTTGAAGACATAGAGTGGATCTTTCAAGGTCAAAGGAACCATTCATTCTTTTTTAAGATTTTTATTGGGGAATTGGGGGGATGGGAACAGTGCTGGGGAATTGGGGGAAGGGGAACAGACAAGTTGCTGTCGTTTTGTTCTTCAGTCTAGTTGTGGAGGACGTTGCTTCACTGGCCCAAGTTGGCACCATCATTGTGCTCTTCCCGGGCGAGGCAGATCAGTCGCTGGCTTCTGGACAGCCGCTCACGGGTGGCTGCTGGCCGCTCACGCTGGCTGCTGGCTACACACGGTAGCCCATAGCAACCCACTGCCACAGGGGCTGTGGCCTTCGCGGTCACCAGCGACTCATGGCAGCCCAGCTCCAGGTTGAGCTGTTGTTCAGCATCTTAGCTGTAGAGGGCAGTGTCACTGGCCCTCTTATGTGGGATCTGAACCGGGGTCCTCTGGCGTCCCAAGCCAGCTCTTAACCATTGCGCCACTCAGCTGGCCCAGAAACAATTCATTCTTCATGAGAAACTCCAGCAAACATCTGACCAGAAATGGCAAGCTTAAATTAAGGTTTGTGGCTCTGCTAATTCTGTGAGTTATATTTACAAAATAATTAAAGCCCACATGCCTACAGTATACATTGAACCAGTGCTCTCACTGAATTATTTGGAGGAGGGGAGGGTCCTTCCACGCATTTTCTGAAATATCTGGATTTTGTCCAGTTTCTTTCAAGACAGATACACAGACTATACAATATCACCAGTGAGATGATTTTAGGCTTTGGAATAATGTTGACCAGGTACAGATTAGTAACAAGCGAAAGCATTTGGAATTACAATGCAAAATGCTAGTCAGGTTTTTTTAGTGTAGTGGAATTGCATTCTCATATTGCTTATTGTCCAGATTCACATGTCCCTGAATCAAATCATATTGCTTCTTCCTCAGCACTCTGGTCCATATCCTGAGCTCCAAATATTATTTCCCTGCAAACAAGTGTCAAATATCCAACTTAATGTTAAATTTACAAAAGACGGCTAGATATGCCCACCTGTACATCACACTGGCTCCTCAGACACCCGAGTTCCTACCCAGCATTTTTCCCTCCAAAACCCACTCCTCCTCCAGAGCCACCCATTATTATTACCAGCAAAATCATGCAGAGTCATCCTTGATGAAAATCTCAGTCATCTTTAACATCTCTCTGTTCCTTATCACTGTCTTTGAGATCCCCCTCAAAAAAAAAAACAAAAAAACCCCACCATCCAATGACAAAAAAACCCAATCTATGTCTAAGTGCCTATCTGTACAGTACCTGTACATTTTACCTTTCACTCCATGTTTAGATGATGTAATATGAATAAAATAAACACCATATCCCCATAGACATCCTCCCTTATTTCCACTTTAGCACTCCATTACCTCCCACATGGACCCTGGGAATGGCTCCCTAATTCTTCTAGCTGCCTGTAATCTCTTTCACTCCAGGAACACTCCCTATATTTTGCTTCTTGCTTAAAAAACATTTGTCATTTCCCAAGATGTCTAAGTGGAAACTCTCTAACTTGGCATTCAAGGCCTACCACACTATGGTTCCAACCCGCCTTTTCAGTTTGGTTTTGGAAACCCAGCGCACCAATAATAGGTACGATGGCTTGCCCCTAGCACTCTTGTATGTTGTACTCTCCTCAAGCTTCAAGGTCTATCTCAAACACTCTCTCACCCCAAAAATCTCTGCCTGTTGTCCCTAAGTTCCAACCATCCTTCCTTTGAGCCTTTATTGTAGGACCAACTCATTCTGCTTTGCACTAGAGTTGGCTTTGTACATGCCAGCTCCCAGGGGGACGGGGCCAGTGCCTTCTTGGTGGTCCTCAGGCAACATAACCTAGTGCCTGCCTATAGCAGTCCTTATTGACGCTTGAATGAATGAAAGAATGAATGGATGCATAAATGAATGAAGACTAGTTTACGGAACCTTGGGGGCTTGTACTGCACCTTACTCATTTCCATGTTCCCCACCCCATCTTGCTCATGGAGCATACTTGTATCAAGATGCATGCAGGAGCAAATAATAGAAAATCTGACTAGCATCAGGTTATAAAAATACAGAATATCGCACTTAACAAGAAGTCCAGAGGCAGCTGCTTAATGGCCAATGGCGTCGAGGACCCGACCTTCCTGTCTTTCTTCTCTGCCACTCTCAATGTGTGATACATCCTCTAATGTTTACAGAATGGCTGCTGCAGCTCTAAACATCTCTTCCCCAGACAAGAGCATCACAAGTAGGAAGAAACAGGCAAGAGCAAAACAGGTTTTTTTTTCCTGTGCTTTCCTCCCCTTTATCAGGGAAGAAATATTCCCAAGAAGCCCCTCAGGCAGGATGCTATGCAGTGTGTACACACAAATCTGCTTGGTCAGCACCCATGCGTGTTGGCTGTTAAATGCTGTGACTATCACCCTTGCCCCTAGAAGACTTTTCCTTACATTTCACTGCTAGAATATGACCACCCCATGCTGCTAAAGTGTCTGGGAAAACAAATTGGCTTTTCAGTTTTTATAGTGGCTAAGGAACAAGGGAGAGCAGTATTAGGAATGACTGCCATGGGACTCAATGACTATGTGCTGAATTAAGTATTGTAAATTAATATGATGATACCCTTAGTTTAAAAAAACCCACCAACAAAAAGTGGGTTCTACTGAGTTCATTACTGAGTGTTTATATTGGGCATTGTTTTTACTTGTGTACTAAAAACAGTTTCGGTCTTTCTGCCCTCAAAAAAAAAATTATCTCATTCAAGATAGAGAAAAGCATTTAAATAAGAATTAACATGTCACAATTGCCTTGGGAAGCCATTACTTAGTTTTAAGGGTTGTTTTGTTTGTATGTTTATAGTACACTGAAATAAGATCTTAGACCCCTTCATCAATTAATCACCAATATCTGATACATTTTAAAATCTCTGCCAAACATTTCTTATGAAGAGCACAGTTAAATATTGTATGTTCTCTGTGTGTTTTACTTTCTCCTCTCTCCAACCCCCAGCTAAGTCATGTAGGTTTTCCCTGGGGGAAACCTAACGCCTTACTACTCTAAGTGTGGTCCTTGAAACAACAGCAGTATCCCCTGGAAGCTTATTAGAAAAGCAGACTCCTGGGCCCTACCCCAGATCTCTAGAATCAGGTCTGCATTTTAATAAGATCTCCAGGTAATTCACATGCACATGAAATGTTGGGAGGCGCTGGTCTCTCCCTCAGTAGCATGACTGTCCACCTGTGAGAGATGACCTGACTTGGACATACCGATATTGGCCAACATTCCAGTAAGCGTAAGGGATGGCGAAGGAAACGTGAACAGTCTGTAATCCAGATGCTCTCTCTCACCAGGGTCAAGACAGACATGTTTTTAGAGTGACAGCCAGTCACTTAAAATGTACAGCTCCGACAACTTCCAAGTAAACTAAAGGCTTCTGACGTAAGCATCGCAATTGATGTGGTTATGCAGCTGCATTTCTGGGAAAGCCCCCATACTTCTTATAAACCTGCTTTTAGCCCGCAACACACAGGCAGTGGCAGGTTTGGCTAGTCAGCTAGCTATGAATGAGGCTTGAAAATAGGACCTCTTCAGGACCAGTCTTCCAAACGTCAAGCCAATTTCCCAGCAGTTTCCAAGATGAAGAGCCTGGTCTTCGTATTGGGCACATCTGATCCATCCCTTGTCAGTACGCTTTCTTTGGTCCCACTGCAGAGCTGGAATACTGGGCTGGTGGTCCGTGGGGCCAGACCCAGGAGCACCATCTAGCTAATTATGGCTGCTCCTGCCCTACTTTTCAAAGAGCATCTTCTTTTATGCAAGTGGGGAAAGGCCATTTGGGCATGAATGTTGCTTAAGAGAGATTAGGAGGTCAGCGTGTCGAGACCCAAACTCTGCTCAATGCTAGAGCGCTGGAAGATGAGTAAGACTTGCCTGGAATAGCCTTCCGTCTAGGAGGAAGGCAGATAAAATTACAACCCGACATGGTAAGTGCCATAAAAGCTGAGGTTACCGCTTCCTCGATTGTTACTGAAACTTAAGGTAAATCACGGAGCCTGATGGCCACTGATGCCATCACCGTTCTTTACTTCCTAGCTATCTGAACATCTGTATTGGGCATACTTCTTACCCCATGTGATTTCCTGTCTTTTTTCTAACAGGTTGTGTATACAATTCCTGCAGTGCTAACCCTGCTTGTTGGACTTAACCCTCTTATCACAGGTATGAATTGGATTAGGAATGGAGATAATACTACTACTTGTGAATGAATGAAAGGCTGTAAAACAGAGGCTTTATCATATGTTTATTTCGTAACCTGCTGCTTGGATCCCTTGCGTATTTATCTATCTCGGGTGGATATACATGTAAAATCAGATTTCCTTGTAATGAGACTCTATTGGCCCAACGTGCAGGAGAAAAACGGGCTCTCCAGGTTTTTTTTTTCTCATTTATAATAATAATTGGTGGCTAATTCTAATCTAGATCATCCTAACCCATTTTCAGGAAAACTTCCCAAGGACTCGCCATACTAAGACAGTCTCATCAGTTTGGAACCCGAGGTCTCTTACGCTGGTGTGGAATGGTAGTTATGCAGCTTAGCCCATGAGAGAGACAAAGGCTCCAGTCACTGCACTGATTTCTTAAGCCACCAAGTTAAGGAAAATCAGCAACGAAGCGCTAACCTTGCCTCCATACTCAGTAGCAATCAGTGTCTATTATATATATACTCTTATCAAATTCTTTTTGGACCATTATCACGCCCGTTAATCCTTTTCTTATTTTGAATTCATTCAAGACTTATGTATGTGAACTGCTACTTATGTAGAGAAACTGTTTATAACGTCTCTAACAAGCCTCTAGATTTTTTGTTAATACATGTTGCTCTCCCTAATCTCCCTATCTGCCTTCATAGTACCCCCAGCAATGTATTGTATGCCTGTATGTGTTTCCTCCTCCTAGACTGTAAGCTCCTTAAAAGCAGGATCATTTTTAACCCGTCTTTGCACCAGCTAAGCTTAAATATGGCCAAGAATATGGTAGCTGCCTAATGTTTGTGAATGAATGGCTGTAAAACAGAGGCTTTAATTATATATTTATTTTGCAACCTGCTCCTTTGGACTCCTTACATATATATCCCAGGTGGGTATATGTGTAAAAACTCACTTAAAAGAGTGGGCTTGTATTGCCCTCAGGCTGCCTAACCTCAATTATGGGCAAAACATAGCTGCTTCACCTTTCGTGGCCTTAAAAACTCGTAACAAACCTTTAAGTTCGAGTTTTATACTATAAATGTATCTTATAACAGAAAAAATGCATTTGACATTGTTTACTAACATTTCCTTATTAATGGGGACTATTAGTCCTGCAGGCTATTCTTCATTTTCTTTAAGACAGCTTCTGTTAGTGGGTCCTGAAAGTTCGTAGGGCCTTAAAATAAAGACTAATGATTCCCTCCCGGGGGGGGGAAACTCTTGTCCCCTAGGTGCATGGCCCTTTGTGTAGGCCCCAGAACTCTGTCTGCATCTTTAAGGCATTATCAGTTAGGGCTCCATTAGTTGCGAGGGAAAAACTCAAATGGGCTCCAAGCTAAAAGTTAGCTGTATTAGGATACGCTACTGAGAAGGCGAGGGTGGTACTGGCTTCAGGCACATGGGCGGCTCAGAACTTCAACTTCGCTGCACTCTCACTTCCACCACCTACTGCAGACTTCAGTCCTGGGCTCCACGTGGTAGCTCTACAGCTCAAAGTTCATATCTTCACCATGCCAAGTCCAGTAGAATATGGAGTCCACTCCCTGATAGCTCAGAATTGAGTTCTTGGCCCTGGTTTGTCATAGGTTCATCCTGAGCCAAATCACTGTCACTAAGGAATAAAATGCATTGGTTGGCCTAGCTGAGGTTGTTATCTGGGCCATGTGGATGGGGCTGTGGGAAGGGGAGATCCCCAAAGAAAATAAGGGCAGTCACCATATCAAGGGGCAATGTTGGACAACCAAAATAATAAATGTCCGTTTAAGTTTATACAGTAAGTCCCCGACTTCCAAACATTCGAGTTGCGAACTTTCACAGATAGAAATGGACCTCGTATTACGGACATTCGCAGATGCGAACAAATCACAGGAGTAGCTTCCATGTCTGCTCTTGTCAGTTCACTCCATGAATCCCCTATATGCCAGTTGTTGCACTGTATTTACTGTACCACCATTTTAAGGTAACTGTAAAAGTAAAAAGTTTATTTATAGTATTTTTGTGTGTGTTTAGTGTTTTTATGCTTTGCCTTGTATATTTGTGTCAAAGGTATATAAGACTCACTTTGTCGGACTTACAAACGAATCCGACTTACGAACGTGTTCCGGAACAGAACTTGTTCGTAAGTCGGGGACTTACTGTAATTACTGCTTTAACCTCTGTGACATCCCTCAGAATGAAGCAAAACAAAACCCCAGCCTTTTCTGAATGCTTTACCTGAAAGTAGACTACAGCAGATCCAAAGAGATCATTTTTCTTTGGGGTGTGATTCCATGATTAACAGCATCAGGGTTTCTATTTTTAGGTAACTTTATTTGGAAGAGTGTCTCTGCAATACACGTGTTCTTTTGTATCGTGTGGGCTGTCGGCTTGGCATACTACCTCCTGCTTCATACCCAACGGAACATCTTACATGAGGAAGAGGGCAGGTGAGCAGTGACTTTCGTTCTCTGGAAGGGGTGGGGAAGAACTGAGAAATCTCCTGTTCCTTTACACCTTAATCTGTGCACAGTGGCTTAATCCCTCCAACTATATACCATGAAGAGCAGGGGAGCTATTATCTCCTTTATAAGTTCAAGAAACTGAAGAAATGATGCTGCCAGGATTCAAACCCAGCACCGTCTACCATACTCCATGATTCCTACAGGCAGCCATCACATGTTACATTATATTACCACCAGGCAGTTGGAACTTTGCCCCCTTATAATGAGCAAGAGTACTCTACACAGTAATAGTCCAGTCGAATAAGGTGAAAACTCTAGCGGCATTCTGATTCACTTCTGATGCATGCCAAAATCTTATCTACAAGTGTGATCAGCCACCTCAGAAGTCAACCTCATTCAGCCTTGCCCTGATGTCTCACGTCATCCCCTCCCTTTGTCACAACCAGTAGTTCTTACTCATCTCATTTGCTTTCTCCCACCCTTGACTCCCTGGCCTCACTAATACCCCAATTCCTTTACTTTCCATCCCACTGCTAATACCTGCCAACACCAAGATTTAGAGGCCTATAAGTTAAGTATCACTGTAGAGGTGCTGCTGTTACAGGCCCTACTCCTTGGGAAACTGGATTGGGTTGGGTCAGTCGATGGAATGTAAACCAAATGGGTTGAATCACCTCCAACTTGAAGCCCACAGGTATGGTACAAAGTGGGGCTTCCAGTGGTACTGTAGCCAAATATAATTGTTTTCTACTCTATGTAAAAGATAAGTGCTTTTCAAACATATACCCACTTCAAAATCATTAGTCTGACTCATACTATAAATCATTCCTCTCCACTAAGATGTGACCCAATTTCTGTAGTATGTGTGCAAATTATTTATTGATTTGAGCTCAGCTGGCTTAACACATGCAACACTGTGAAACAGTGTAAAACGAATGCCTGATCAAATTGAGATTGTTTTCTTGGTTGTAGTATTCCTCCCAGTGACATGAAGTGATTTAGCTGTTCTTGTTTGTGTTTTGTTGGGTTTTGTTGTTGTTCACGTACAAGTTGGGGAACAGCTATGGAGCTCATACCTGCTTCATAAGGTGAAATTTTCACACAGGGCTTTAAACGGTGTGAAAAAAGTAATGTGAGACATGCCTGACTTGAAAATATTCTGTAGATGCTCTCTATCTTGGGGGAAGTCAGCCAACAATCAGCAGAATCCAGTGTCAGGGAGAGAATGGCGTGATGATATACATCTCGTTTGTAGCCACTTCAGAAATGTAAAATGTGTGCTATTTTATAGGGAGCTGTCTGGTCTGGTGATTATCACAGCATGGATGAGCCTATGCCACAGTTCATCAAAGTAAGTGTCCTATCAGATGTGTTCAAGGTTGATCAGAGCAAGTTGATGAGACTATAGACACAAATAAAAACTAAAATCTTTTGGAAGAATTCTTTCCTTCCCTAAGGTAAGCTAATAGTTGATTCAAAATTTCATGATCATTAATACTTTCATGAGTACCACAGTTTCCTATGTGGCCCAGGGTCATTAGGGAGTTACTGGCCTAAAGGGTGTTCTTCAGGGAGAAGGAAAATGATCTCAGAAGGAAGCTTGGAGATTTAGGGAAGAAGGAAGAGCAAATAAAATATACAAGTATAAGTACATATCAATGAATATCAGCTTTATAAAACAATAATGATGTTTTGTGCAACTTAAATATATAAGGAATAAAAATACATGACGAGTAGCATCTAAGTGGGAAGGGGATAACTGAAGGTGAAGTGTTCTAACATTCTGGAATTGTCTGGGCAGAGGTAAAAGTACCAATTTTTATTAGACTTTTATAAGTCAAGGATTCATGTAGTAATCCTTAGGGTAACCACTAAAGGAAAAGAAATTTAGTAGAGAAAGCAGGGAAAAAGACATAACAAATAGGAAAAATAGGAAGCAGATGTTTAGAGAAATCAACCCAAATATATGAGATTACATTAAATGTAAATATTCCAATTAAGAGTCAGAAATTTTCCAAAGTGGATAAGATTATAAACCGACTAAACACTGCTTACAAAAGACAACCCTTAAATATACCGATACAGAAAGACTGAAAGTCAAAAGATGGGAAAAATATACAATGCAAACATCAACCAAATGAAAGCTGATATAGCAATTTTAATTTTTAAAAAGTAGACTTTAAGGCTAGCATTAAAGAGAAAGGACATTTTTTGTTGATTTTTAAAATAAAATTTTTATTTTGAAATATTCCAACATATATAAAAGCAGAGACTTGATATAATGAATCAGATGTACCCATCACCTAGCTTCAACAATTATCATTGTATGTCCAATCCTGTTTCATCTATATCACTGCCATCTCCACACTTACAGATTATTTTGAAACAAATCCCAGACATCATATTGTTTCATTTGTAAATATTTCATTTCAGTATGTATCTCTAAAAGAGAAGCACTTTAAAAAAATAACCGCTCTACCATCATCACACACAAAAAAATAAAAGAACAATAATTCTTCAGTATGGAGTTTTCCAATCAATGTTTACATTTCTCCAGTTGTCTTATAAATGCTTGTTCCTGTATTCTGTATTTCTTATAAACTGGTGGTTAGACCTAGACGCTTGGCCAGATTCTGGTATTTTTACTATTACTACCAAGCAAGACTACTTCATGGGTGGTATTATGTAATTCCATCATAATATACATAATACTTAGCTGTTTCTCTGTAATGTTAATAGTCTTTGATGATAATTGCCTAAGCCCATTAATTCATTTGCAAAATGGTGCTATTCTAATTATACCATTAATTGATTATGAGCTGGAAAACTTCTACAAAGAGACACTCCAGATCATAAGAAGAAAAGGAAAGAAACAGCTGTTGATTTTTTTGTTTTTTTTAAAAGATTTTTATTTGGGAATTGGGGGGATGGGAACAGTGCTGGGGAATTGGGGGAAGGGGAACAGACAAGTTGCTGTCGTTTTGTTCTTCAGTCTAG